TTGTCTAGGATTGGTATTTGAAATTTTGAAAAGTCTCTGAGACATTGTAATTGAATATCTGTTTGTGAGCTGATTATAGGTGTTCCCCTCATTTAGTGTTCATAGTCTTATTGAGGATTTGTCAGAACATGTGTGTAGTATGTGTATTTACTGAACATCTCCTGTGCAGCTGTGTCACAGGTGTGTATAGTCAGGGCTTACTGCCATCACTGATACACTATCAAGTGAATAATTGACAGTAACTTCTCTTTCATACCTTTTATATGATAAACACACCTTGTTCTTTTTTAAAAAATAGATGTTACAGCCAGTTCTATGTGATCAAAGGTTTATGTTGTTTTTTTATAGCACTAAATACGGTGTGTTTGCGTATACGAGCACAAAAGACTAAAGACTTGGTTGAACAGATTAAATCTTTACATTGGGAATTGCTTTTGTTGCAAGGGCTTCCTGTCTGCTAACTGTATATATGGCAGGGAAGCAAGCGATTCTTCTTTCACCAGAAACAAGAAAAACACATACTAGACAAAGTCTAAGCCTTTACCACTTAAATGTTCAGACTGTGAGGTGCCTAAATATATACATTGTAAGGAATAGGCATTTCTGGGACTTACAACCTTTGTTCTGTTGGTGCTTAACTCCCTGAAGACTTTCATGCTGTTTGCCTGTGTAGGGCAATCTTGACTCTTACCCAAAGGGCCAACCCTTGTGTTCAGAAATAGGAGTTTTACAGCTGGTATATGTGAATAGTCAAAGTATGTATCTAAAGCTATGTTACAAGAAGAGCTGTTCTATGTAATCAAGACAACTGTGGAAGACAAAGGCAAGAACACTAGAATCTTTGCTAATGAGAGGTATTGTTTAAGAGTATAGCAAAATAAAGTAAGCTTTTATCAGTTTGGTATTTCACAGTGGTCATGAACCCACTTGCAGGTTGACCGCGAGTTGAACAAATGACAGGTCAGCTGCTGTCCTGCTCAGTAGGAGAGAGGGGATCTTGGGCGATGGTTCCTCTTTTCCTTCCCTTAAAGGAGGGCCACCCTGTAATGCGGTGTTAGTACTTTACTAACTGCACATTAACCTTCATTAGCTCCTTTGGTTCATGGCCAAAGTGTGACAGGCCTTATCAGAATATATATTTTTGGTGAGACAATGAAGTGATCCTACTTTCAGGTCACTCTGTCCTGGTTTCGTATAAAAAGCTTTCTATATCAACAGCAGTGTCATTTCAGTAAAAAAATCTTGCGCATATCAGCAAAAAGATTCTTCACTGCTGCAATGATCAGCAAAAAAGAGTTTAAGACTTTGTATTGCACAAGGGTGAGCGATGTGGAAATCCATGTGTTAGCTTGTGTGAAGGCATAAGCCTGCATTAGCCATAGCAGTCTGTGGGTAGGCTTTGGCAGCATTAGAGATCATTGTAACAGTGTTTTTAGCTGCAGTATTACAGGATTGTTGTATGTTAGAAAAAATACACTATTCCTGTCTGGTTCTTCTCTTCCAGGCCTGTCTTATGTTTCCACAGAAGTAATGGTCTTGTGACAGAATCATGGATTTTAATATATGTGTTTTTTTTCTATATTGCTAATCTTCACATAGCTTCAGTTTTCTGTAGTCTCTGCTCTCCCTCTTCCTTTATAGGTTTTTTTTTCAGTTGGTCAAAGCTGCTGAGTTTAGTTCCAGTTAAGATTAAGTGAAATGCTTTTGTAGGAAAAAACTTGCCAATAGTTTTGTTTCTGTCATAGAAGTAATGTAATAAGACACGTGAGTCAGGCAAATAAGCAATTCCTGCCCTGAAGGCTTTAAGGATATAAACCAAACAAGATTACAGAAGAGCATGAAATGCTAAATCTTGAGTGAGCTGTTGCACACACCTTCATGCAAATCGTAGTTGTTAGCGGGTACCTGAAGTTAGGAATAACAAAAGCAGGTTTAGAGAGGAAGAAAGAGTATTAGGGGACAAAACAAGCTAGGCTGAGAGATACTGTGGTGGTTCTTTCCTGGGTAGAGGAGAGTAGGGCAAGAAATAGTCAAGGTCATCAGTAACAGAATTGTTTAGAACTGCAGTCACGTGCTGCTAATTGAGGTGGAAGCATTTGAACAGTGGCAGGGTCTGCAGTTACAGGTAATTAAGTGTGTCTCTGAACTTCAGACCATGAGGTAAATCACAGTGTCTCTCAGTGCAAAACTGCCTGCATGTGAACACATCGGATTTGATTTGATTTGATTTGAATGATGCAATTAATTTGAATCAAATCAAATCATCAAAATGCTTGGGTATTCAAAGTGATGTTTATGCTTCTGAACAAGTTGTGCTTTGAAAGGCGTTCCAGGGAAAAAAAGGGAATGATGATTAGGATATGTGGAATAAAAGATCATACAGCTATGTAGTTACCACCAAAATGATGTTTTACATCCATGAGGCAATTCTTAACATATTACTCAGTTTTATCCTTTCGCTGGAAGGGCTGAGAATGAACATGGCATATTTTCAAACTGGCAGTTGGATGTCATAAGAATAGTTGCAGTATTCTTATTTTTCCCAGTGAGATTTGTTGAGAGCAATTTGCCTTCTGAAATACATCTGCAACTAGTGTCCTGTCCAACTCAAAACAAAAATGAAAAGATTCAATTTGCAGTTGAATGTTATTTTCACGGCTCATAAGTGTTCTTGAACTCCACTTCTTATGATCAAATTAGTCATGAAGACATCTGCTTTGATTATTTGTCCTGTTTTACACATTTATGCTTTCTGATGATTGCATCATATTTGAAATTGGTTATTACAGTAATTTATATTAATTTACACAGTAATAACTGAAGTTTCTCTTGTAAGGCAAACCAAATAATCGCACAAACTCATAGGCCACATGTCTTTTTGAAGACTTAGCTCTACTATGCCAGTAACAGAAAAACAGCCAGTATATGGTTGCAAATGAATTTGGCACAAGATAGATGGAAGAGTAAATAACAAGGAAACTGGTAGCAAGTGGTGAGATGAATTTGCTTTTGTTTTTCTTTGCAGTTTTGGGCACACTCATCTGTAGAAACTGTGTGGATCCCTCTCTTCTAATTAGTTTAATTATTATGAGATGCCTCATTATAACACTCAAGCTTTTAAGTTCTGAAATAGTAGAGTTTAGTTTCTGGAAGGCTGAAAATTTCTAGTCTAATTAAAAGTGTGAAATTTGATGGATTGTGATGTATGTATTACACTAGATAAGATGTTGAATCATGTATAAATGATAAAATACATATTTAGTAGTTACCTGTCTTTAAAGTGTTTCTTTGAAATATTGAGGGGAAAATAAATCAGAAGGCATCTGACTAAACAGATTGAGGATCTCATTTTGCATTATTTAAAAGAATATAGTCTCTATTTTAATGTGGAAAAAGCTAGAAGATTCATGAGCTGGAGATGAATGATGTGATGTGTTTCAGTAAATGATTTGTACTCCATTTCAGTAGAAGCTACTCTTTTATTGACTGAAGATAATCTTGATGATTTTCACATCTTTAGAACTATTGTAGTTCAGAGATGTCAAGTCAGGTTTTCTGTATTGTAGTATATAGGTGTTGGCTTTATAATGAAGGAAGAACGTGAAGTTTTTCCTCCAGAAAGGTGTGCCTCTAACTGTGTGAGAAAAACCTTGTGTGTTTGTATGTTACTAGATGCACAGATATATATGTAGTTTGGGTGATTGCATACTGACCTTGCAAAATCCCCACACTCAGGGTATCCCCATACTCAGGTATAAATAACAAAACCTTTTGTAAAATTAGTGTTACCCCAAAAAAGCTTCCCCCCCTCCCTGTCCCCGCTAGATCAGCTCCTTTATTCTAATTGACCCAGACTTTTTAATTTTTCTGTTCTATAGTAAATGTCTGAAGTATACACTGAGAGTTTAATGAGGGGCAGGGCAAATGCATGGTACCAGAATTAGCAGAATGCATTCTGGTAATTATGTAGGGCCTATTCTTTATGCAGCAGCTGATAACCTAGTAGTTAAAGGTATATTTACAGTTTAAGCTGGTTTCCATACGAGATTGTTCCTTCAATAGAGTACTTCTTACTTGAACTTCTATCAGATGGACCTTATTCAGAATTACTGCTAATTACCAGTATATTCTTGTGCTAATAAATGTTCTTAGCAGTAACTTGATCTTGGAAGGCATGGGAGAATTTCCTGGAGACTTGAGAAGAAGGTGGTTCTTTTCCAAATGGTCAATTCTGAAGCAGAGGAAAATGTTTATTTCATTTCTATGTTCTTAGGTACTGTTAAATACAGTTGCAAATGGAAGAATTTGGACTGGAACTACTGTGGGTTTTTTCATGTACAGCCTACACTCCTGGATAACTCCAAGAAATGAGGCAGTGGGAACGGGGAACAGTTTTGGGGAGAGGGGAGGGAGCAAACTGTAGTATCATTTAAAAGTCAAGAGTTGGATCAAGGGGGTTCTGAAGTAAGTATCTCTTCATATTGCCCTTGGCAAGATCCCACTATGTTAATAAAATGTGCAACCCTGTTACTAGATCACTTGTAACTTAAATGTGTAAGTACCATAATTTGATTAATTTTTTTAGTACCTCAATAAATCTATGTTCATGCTTAGAACTTCCAACTTGGTCTTACAATGATTGCTTTTCTTTATCACCTCACTTCGCTTCTATCTGTCTTCCTTTTCAACATTGGAATCCCTCAACTCTGTCCTTCCTACTTTTTTTTTTCTTTTCTTTTTCCTAAAGGTAGAAGTTCTTTTCTCAGCTTAAATTATATTGGAATTTGTCTCCTGCTCTGTGTGTGTTGGTTTTTTAGTGTATTTTAACTATGCATTGAGTTACCTTTGTGTAAGAAAAGATATGAAGCAACAAAAGGGGATTTGTCCATTTACCTATGTAAGTCATAGGGTGAAAAGTTGGAAGGAGTATTTGGCAAAAAAGTCCTGGGATAAAAAATTTTGTAATTATTTCAGCTGTCTATATTTTGTTTTAGATTGTGATTTGGAGTCGTGGAGAATTCACAGTCTTTCCACAATGGGAGAAAGGACAGATTGTATGAAGTCGCATAGTTCACTGGCTGAATACAGCCCCGTCAATAAATCAGACAGGACAGATCCAAGTGACAGCTGTGAAACACAGGATGGAAACCAAGATACAATGCAACTGAAGAAAGAAATATCTTTGATAAATGGGATAAGCCTTATAGTAGGCAACATGATTGGTTCAGGTATCTTTGTCTCTCCCAAAGGAGTTCTCATCTACAGCAAATCTTACGGATTGTCTCTAATAATTTGGGCAATTGGAGGGATTTTTTCAGTCTTTGGAGCTCTCTGCTATGCTGAACTTGGAACCACTATTACAAAGTCAGGAGCCAGCTATGCCTATATCTTGGAGTCGTTTGGGAGCTTCATTGCTTTTATTCGTTTGTGGACCTCACTCCTGATTGTTGAGCCAACTAGTCAGGCAATTATTGCCATCACCTTTGCTAACTACATAGTTCAACCTTTCTTCCCTTCTTGTGATCCTCCATATTTGGCTTGCCGTCTCATAGCAGCTGCTTGTGAATGTAAGTATTTCTTTAAATTTACAATGGTAATTTTTTATCTGGGGTTAAGCTTTATGAAGACAAATGCTACCAATCCCAGAGTTGTTGCTTAGTGAATCTGCAACAGTTTGAGTTACAGTGGGGAAAAGAACAATTTCCAGCACATGAGTAACTTGCAGGTATTCAGTAAATTGAGTGAATTTTCTCATTCAGAAGCAGAACAAGGTATTAAACTCATCCAAATTTACTTACATGGGAAAAATGGAGGGCAAAGTTTGTTTTCCCTTAGAGACGTAAATTAAATCAAACCTCAAGATACTCTTGGTGAGGTCTAAGAGTTGTTGTAGAATAGCTCTTACACTATAAATTCTGCTGTAATTTATGTTACAATAGCTTCTCAATGTAGACATGCTTAAGTAATTACTCTGGTAGGATTTCAAAAGATCATTAATTCAAGATTATTCTTTATGCTCATGATTAACTGTAATACCAGTACAATAGTACCTGTTGTAAAACTGTTTTAAAAAGCAGAAATCTTGTGGCACATAGAACATTGAAATGTTTATAATGAGATAGCCAGATCTTTTAGTCAATATAGAGAAACAACTGTCCATGTGCTTCAAATCAGGACTGTTCTGCTGTATCATGAGAATGAAAATGTATGATTGTACTGTGTGTGTGTGTCTTATTTAATTTTAGATATTTCCCATTAAAAGTGTTTATATACCTAGTTCACATTTCCAGTAAACAGTGAAAAATATTTTTCAGAAAGTCTGTACGGCAGTCCTTCGTCATGTACTGATCATCATTGCTGTGCCCTGTGGAGTCTGCCATCCTTATTGACCTGATGCTCTTATCATAAAGCTAATACAGAACCTGGCCTTTTTTACTGCCAACAATATGCTACAGGGAGGAGATGTGCTGCTCCTAGTTGGTTCATTTTTGAGGCAGCAGGAAGTGTTTGAAATGGCTGTACTATGTTCCTTGTTACAGTTTTCTATGTAGGACTAGAAGAGGGTAAAGATGACGAGAGCAATGGTGTGTGTGTGTCAGATGTTTGACCTCTGTAACTAGTTGTGAACATTATACCTTCCCCTTCCATTTTTGTAAGTTAACTTGTTACTGTTGGGAGAGCACTCGTGCTGGTCCAGGTAGCAGGAAGAATAATAGCAAATTTCTTCTGAAAAAGCTTATCGCCTTACTTGGTTCTGTTCCGTTCGTCTCCCTCCACTTTCCCAAATATGTGGCCACATTTTGTTGTGACAACTTCAGGAAAGAAATGAAGTACCTAAAATGTCATGTTCACGTTCCTTAAACAGATATTGTCCCAAGGTATCCTGGCACAGGTTCAGGAGTGTAGGGGAATCTGCTCTTCCATTTAAAATAACTCGCATCTGAGGTGAGTTAGCCCTTATAAAAAGCAGTTTATAAAAAAGCAAGAAATTAAGATAAAGTGATTCAATTACGATGATTATATAGTAGACATGGAAAGACAGCGTAATGTCCTCTACACTTGCTGCTAAGAGAGATTTAACACCTTTTTTTTTTAGTGGAGATAGGTGACAGCAAGGTCACTCTTATGCAGGTGGAAGAACTTGCTCTAACTGTACATTTTATGGTTTACATGTTTGTTCTGCCCTGTTTTAGGCATCAGTGCTGGGACTCTCACCCCTGCTCTACAACTTCATTTAGCTGTTACTGTTAAAGCCTACACTTCTCTCTGGCCTGGCAGGGTTGATGCTGGGTGTTCAATTCTTACCTCTGGATAAGATTAATATTTTATTAATGAAGTTGCTGGGAGTGGAAGCCTAAACATTGGTTAGGTACAGACTATATGTGAGAATAGGTGGGTTTGTTGTGGACTTTCTTTTTGTCCGCTTTTTTAAAAATTATAGTAATAACAATACCAGATGAAGTGTGAGATCCGTCTTAGTGTTACACAGCATTACTTTGTCACTCATTTTGGAAATGGGGGTGCCATCTGGTGCTGCAGAACTAAACTTGACAGTTCTCAGGAACTTTAAGTAGCTAAAAGATAATTAAGTTAAAGAAAATACGAGATTTTTAGTAAAGAAAGAGGGAGGGCATGTGACTTGTTCAGATTCTTGATTATCTCTTTTAATCTTTTAAGGTATCAGAGACAGTAGCATTTCATTTGGAGACCAAACCCTAACTCACTAAAATAAGGTGTTAATAATAATTGCTCCCAATGAAAGTTGCTTTTAAAAAATATGTTAATGGCCAAAATAAACCCTGCAAGCAAATACTCTATGGATAACACCGACCATTAATACTAAAGAGCAGAGACCAAGTAGAGTTGTTTTTTTCCTGAGGGCTCTTTGGAAGCTGCAGCAGTCCTGACTTTTGAAATTTGATACAGCTGTTTTTTTCCCCTCATCTTGCCAAGCTCAGTGGAATCTCGTTCAGCTATTCCACTTCGCCAGATTGTCTAGTATACTAGTGCCATGTTTTTGAGATCATTACCTTTCTTTTGTTATCTGTTTAAAATTATTACTTTTCTATTTGGTAACTGTTCTAAGTGCATTTTTATCTTAATAGTATCACATTGTTCTTGGATTATGGGAAAGGAAATAATTTATCACATCTTTAATTTTGATTTGCTACTACCTTATTCCCTAAACAATCAAGTTTAAATTTTATTTATATGCGTATTTAAAATACATAGTGCAAGATAAAAAGTACAGTAGAATATAAGCACTTTTTCACTAGCTAGAGAAAAAAATGAGATTTGGGGGAAATATTTAAACTTCTGGGTTGGAATCAATAATGTAATGACGATCTGGATGAGAAAAATATGCACTGAATTAGTATTTTTTTCAATAAAGAACACTGAAGATACCAAATCCTATTCAATATTCAGCATTTCAGTTCAGGCAGAGGTTTTTTTGGCTCTCCGCTTGAGGAAAAAGTGGTAAATGAAAAAGCAAAATGTTGAAAGCCATCAGAACAGTGTATTTAAACAATAGCTTGAAAAGTGTTTGTTGGGGAAGTTGATCATATGAGTAAGTTTGGTCAGCCAGTGTTACTCAAAGATTTGTGAAATCCGAAAATCTCATTTCAAGTTCTACTGCGATCTTGTGAAATAGGTCTGACACCCATTTATTTGGGGATAGAGGGAGAGATATATTCAGAATATTCATTACTTACTACCAGTTCTTAAAAGTCCAGATTAATGTTGCATTAGCTGTAAAGCATATGTTACTTGGTCAGATCTGTTCTAACCTCACTTACTAATACAGTGTAATACGACTGACAAAGAGTGTTGAATCACCTGTGACCATATTCAGTATTGCAGGTACTCCGTGGATGTTGAACTCATCTGCAGCCTAACAAGGAAGGATGAAAAAACTTTGCAAACACTATTTTAATATGTTTGCCTAAAGGAATTTCTAGATAATCGTTCATTTATCAGAACAATATTGATACATTGAAATGAATTATTTCATGTAATGATTTCTTTAGCTTCAGGATAGTTGCAGAGTGCAGCTGATGAGGGGTAACGTTGGGGAAAATGGACATTTAATCAGAGAAGGGGAAGTTCTTTCCTTCCATCTTTTGAAACAGTGTGTTTAGAACATCTGTTTCCTACTATTTTGTTTAAACCAGTGTGTTTTCAGTACGAGTGTGTTTTCAGTACCAGTGTATTTTGCTTAGTTTAACCTAAATATTAGTATAACAGGTAAGTGCACGTTTACTTTATTTAAAATCTTTGAAAAATGAGTTAAACTAAATATTGTTCAAATAGTCTTTTAATTTCTCTTTTTTTCTTTCCCCCTAGGTCTTCTAACATTTATAAATTGTGCCTATGTTAAATGGGGAACACGAGTGCAGGATATATTTACTTATGCTAAAGTTACTGCTCTTATTGCCATCATCATAACTGGACTTGTTAAAATATGCCAGGGTAAGCTTGTAAAATTAAAGCAAAGGTTTGTATTTATCAGTTAAACTGAGTAACTGGTCTAAAGACTAAAATACTTCTGTTTGTGTTATCAAATGCCTCAGTACAAGCATAATATAGCCAGTTTGAAAATAATACCAATGTTAGGCATTATCATTATATTATATCATGAGAAACTATCATATCTCAGTTGACTTTGAACTGGGTAAAAGAAGGTAACTGATTGCTCAGCAATGTTGTGCAATTTACAGCCTGCAGTGTGGAATAATAAAAGAAATGAAAATGGCAAAATACAGAGCTAGCATAATACGATGGGAGCAGAGAAAGCTGTAAATTTGTGTAAGGAACATAATGGTTTACAGTGAGATCAACTGAATTTTTTTTTTACAAAATGAATTTTTTGCAAGTCGGAAAGTTACTAAACAAAACAAAAATACATTTGTAAGAACATGCAAGTAGATTTGTGAGACAGCAGCTCTTTTTTTGCTCAGATCCTGAGTTCTATTACTGCTGTTGAGAATTAGAAAGTTTCTGGGGTTTTGGATTATTTTTTTTTTATTATTTGTGTGTGTGTGTTGGGCATTGTGCCTTCAAGTTAGAGGAATTCTGAACTTAGTTTTGTTCTTAGCCCTTCCTTTGAAGAGAATTTATTGACATGTTAGCTTAAAAAAATCGCCCTGCTTTCAAAGCTGCTGTAAAGATCTTTCCCTGGCAATCTGGCAATTTGCGTCCTTTGCTCTGACCAGGTATTGTTGAAAGTCCATGAGCAAGGTAATTATTGTGAAGGGAACAAGAATATGCGTATGTGAGCACCATGCTGGAGTGTTTAATCCTTAGCACATCTGCCCATCCCTTGTTTTGTAAATACTGAGCTTGTTCACTACTAACCCCCTTGACGTTGTCTCCTTTCTCTGTTTCACACTGGCCTGTGTGTGTGCCAAGGGAATAGCAATGTCTGATTAGGATAAAAAGTGAGGAAGAGAAATAAGTGAAGATATTTTAGAGGCCTCAAACGTTTGGTCAGTTTTGATAAAGTCTAAACGTTTCAGGATGCATAGTACAGGGCACGTTTTGGATTTACATAGTAACTCGCCTTTCCGTATTTGCTGTTTTTGTGTCTGTATATGTAAAATAGTGTGAATATATAAAACTGCCATTGATGAGCTTTTCTTGACTTGCTTGAAGTCAAAAGGTGGCACAAGTTCTCACAAATACTGGTGAAAAAAATGTACACTCTTTTCTTTTAGGTTGGGAAAATTTTATCTTAATAATATTTTAAGTCTGTTAATTGGTCTCGGTTTTCTATTTTTAATAGCTAAAACTTAAACGTCCATTTAGTTTTGGGGATTTTTTTTTGGTCATAGTTATCCAAAATCAACTGTAATCTTTGTTCTCTGCATAGCCGAAATGATGGATAATTTTAAAGGATATAGAAGGATAGAGTGCATTATTTTATAAATATATGTTATGAAAAATACCCTTAGCCTGAGTACTGTCATTGCCAGTTTTTTGTAGCTTAGTCCGAACTTAATGTTCCTGAACTTTTTGTACCATTGTGGACAAACTAGGTATTTAATTATAGGACAGTATCATCCACAGAGCATAATTTTTAGTTGTTTAAATGCCATGCTTATTCTCATGGCTGAAGCACAGAGTAGAATTGGAAAAAGAGCTTAATAAGGAGCTTTGAAGGAATTAGGGTTTCTGAGCATTTTTGTATGTGTGCCAAATTGAGAAAAAATTACTTGCTGTATTTTATTATCCTGTACTTCATTGTATCTCTTCCACACACAGGACATTCATCACACTTTGAGAACTCTTTTGAGGGATCCTCTTTTGATATTGGAGACATTTCCCTTGCGCTCTATTCTGCCTTGTTCTCTTACTCTGGTTGGGATACACTCAATTTTGTAACAGAAGAGATCAAAAACCCAGAAAGGTAAACGATCTGAGATTTCTAAACCTGGATATTTTCCAAGTTGCTTGTTTTGTGGTTGTCTTTCACTAATGGGCTCTGAGCTTACACAGAAATGAGTAGAACTGCTCTGTACTTAGATGGTAAGGCTGTGAACAGCCACTAGGTATAATTTACTAGGTTTAAACTCCATTAAAAATGAAAAAAAAAAAAGGGGGGAAAAAAGGTAAGAATAAATAAGTCTAGATGATTGCAGGATGCTGTATTCAGTGCTTAATAAGCTTTCAGTTCAAGATGTTGCTACTGTTTATTACAATAGGTGTTAATATTGCAGTGAAACAGTTACGTAAGTGTAGTCTGTGCTGTGTTTATCTGTGCAATAATTCTGATTTCATATGTAAGAATGTTATCTTTTCCATGAATTTATGCTCTAAAAGTGTGACTGACTAATCTTGTTCAGTTGTGAGTCTGTAAGCAGATACCTTTGTGTTAAAAATAGAATCCCATTTGATCATTTTTACTTCCTATTATAAGCAACAGCTCAGATTGCTACACCTGAAAGATAAAGAATGGGAGAGAGATTTTTTCAGTTCTCCCAACTGATTTTGGCTTTTGCAGTTTGTTCTGTTACCTCTGAGTTCTGTGCTGTTGACCAGGAAAGTTATCTATTAAAAAGATGAAATAGCAGATAAGTATTTTAACTCTAAAAATAGCTTTTTTTAGTCAGACTGGATTGACAATGCTTCCTTAGATTGTCTTGCAAAGATTTATTTCACATATTGAGAAGAGATGTACTTTTTGTGTTTGCATCAGTCATTTGGTCCTTCAAATTGTTCTTTTCCACTGAAAGTGTTCCCCTTTTGAGTGCTGTTGCGATGCTTTTTCATCTTTTTAAAGCTCTAACATATTGTTCTGTGTTATTGGTTGGTTAACTCTTGTATTAGATGTATTGTTTTGAAAAATATTTTTTCTCACAGGATATTCAGCTGATGAGAATTTCTTTAGATTCATTTGCTATTTATAGGCATCAGTGCTTAATACAAGCTTCATTCTTGGTAACAATTGTAGCTGATAAAGTGAACTTCAAATTTAAGCTTTCTACATTGACAATTCTTGGGAATCATGAGATGTTCCAGACTTCTATAAAATTACTCCAAGAATTACATATTTTTCATATTCACTTGATTCATAGTGCCCTCACGCTTACCCAGTCAAAAGTTGCAATCCACAAATTAAATTTGAAATAGTCCCTTGGCTTTAATCTTGGGTGATGCAAAGCCCTTAACATGCCATTTCAGCTTTTTAATTTTTTATTTTTTTGGTTACATTATGTAACACTTTTGAATCAATTTCCAAGTGGTTTTCTTATTGTGTTTCTTCTCTGCACTGAGGTTCACAGGTCTCTTACTGTGAGTGTGCAACCTAGAAGCAGAGTCAGAACTCCCAGTTACTAATTTACTGATTTATATGAGGGGATTGGGGTGTGTGTTTGTTTTTCTGCTTCCACAGCATCAGACAGACCCAGCCAGAGTTCTGGGCTTCAGGAAATTTTTGAGGAAACTTCCAAATGGCATTTCATCTTTCTGCTTTGAGTTTTTGTTGTTGTTACTGAAAACTGTGCTCATGACAAATGCTCGTCCGTGTCACTGTGCCGTGTTTGATTTCAAACTGGGCAAAGGCAAGAGTAACACTCTCAGTTCTACTTTCCTTTTTGAGACATTTGAATACCCCTGCAAGCTTTGGGGAAAGAATAAGGCTGAGGAAAGCCAAAGCCTAAAATTGAAAGTTTGCTTCTGTTTCTGCTCTGCAGAGCTTCTCCTTGTGGAGCTGCAGACTCAGGGCTGCGAGTTTATCTCAGCTTTAAATTAAATGTTATCTGTTTACATCCAGAGGTTTGCAGTGTTTTCATGTTACTCTAGACTTTTTTTGTATTACTTTCTAGACGTGTTTGCTAGTAAGATACACCACATCCTGAGATTCACAACTATGTAGCAATTTTGAGTCTGCCTTCTGCATCTCTACTTCCTGTGGTTAGGCAGCCCAGTTAGTTTGTTCTCTGCAGTGATAAGGGCAGATGAGAAGATCAGGGGTTTGGTTTGGTTTAGTGGAACTCCCTGCATCAAGTCTAGAAGCAGGTGCTAGAAGAACAGCAGTATTCCCCAGGGAGAATGAGGGCAGTGACTCAGAGCTCTGCCCCTTTGGGTTCTAGTTATGTTAATTAACATGGCCAGGAGGAAGTAATTTAAAGCATGTAAATTTGAAGGCTGTTATCGTGGAACTGGAATCCCTGAAGTTTAGTTGAAGAGCAGTTGCATCGAATCCCTTTTTACACATAATTTATGCTTTAAGTTATTGCAAAAAAAATTTTATTTTTCCAATATTCTATATTAGAATTTCTAGTTCTAAAAGAAACCAAACTCTTCCAGATATACATATTTTGAAATCTTTATTCTGTCTTCATACCTTTTATCTCTAAGGTAAAGGATGAAAATAAATAAGTTTATTCTGTTATTAATGGAATTTTTTTTCCCTTGGGTTTTTTTGTTTGTTTTTTTCTTTTTGTCTTACAGGAACTTGCCACTAGCTATTGCAGTGTCTATGCCAATTGTGACTATTATCTATATTATGACCAATATAGCTTACTACACAGTGCTGGATGTCGAAGCTGTTCTTTCTAGTGATGCTGTGGCAGTGGTAAGTTGACCATGTGGTATTTTGCTATATTATTCACTTTTCACCTTTTAGGGATGCATTTCATTTTGAGGAACAAAACGGGAAGAATCCCTAGTTTATTATAGTACTTCACTGAATACAGGAGGAGAGAGCAACTCATCATGATAATTTAATCTTGAACAGAAAAGCAGTTAATGAAATCACGTATAATAATAATATCAGATTAGTTAAAACAAGCACAGATGCATCTTGTTAATGTATTTTGCAAAGATGCTAATTAGACTCATGCATTTTGAGCTGATTGTATATTAGACTTGGTGCATAATTGTCTTTGTTCCTTCATGCTGCAGTATTTAGAAAGCTGGAGCAGTATGCAGAGCAGTGTTGCACTGAGCTATGTTCTTTCGAGCTAATGGTGCAATGCAATGGATGTGTTGCAGCTCAGCTATGGCAAAGTTTAGCTTTGTATCTCCTTTTTAATAATTTAAGTCACTGTCTTCCCAACATTTTATTAATTCCAACAACTTTTAATATTTTGAAATTTAGTATTTTTGTGTATGGATGGAAGTTTGAATCCAATTAAAATATATAAGCTTCTTAAAGTTAAAGCTGTTCAAAACGTGTTTTATATTTAAAGCTAATCATTAAACAAAAGAGAAATCTCTTATTTTGCCCTGTATCTAGTGAATTAATTGGATGTTTCTGGTTGCTATATCCTTTAGAGTTGAGACTTGGAAAATTTAATCTTCTTTTTAGTTATTTAAATTGGAGGAAAAGAAATAGCTTTCCTCTCTTTTAGATTCCTAATTGGCTTCTAAAATTTAAGTAGTTAGACAATGGACAGAGAGTTTTAAATACATCAAAATGAAGGAAGAATTCAGTCTGTTCCCACAGAGGATTACTAAGATAAAAAACTGGCTTAGCAAATCAGCAAACTCTTGTTTCGGGTATTTAAGCAGATGGTTCTGCAGAAGCACTTACTTGACTTTCTTTCAAACTTGAGAAATATTTATATTTAATGTAAGCTTTCAAAATAGTTTATGGTAAATGTGGGCTCTGACTTGTAATTTCAGATGTAATTATGCAGATGTTTATTTCAAAATGTATTGAAAGTAAATAAACTTCAATTCATTGCCTCTTTTTAGCTGGACTATAGAAATACAAAGTTGTCATATATTGTGAAAAACTTGGTAAAGCACTTCAGAATGTAACAAAAAAAGACAAGGACAAAAAATATTTAATTTTGAATAAGCTTATGCTAAGGGGTAATAAAATCTCCAGTAATATTTATTTCTGTTGTAGGCTATAGTATCCCATATAAAGTACCTTCCAGTGACTAATAATGGAATTTTTAATTCTTATCTAGAATTAATTAATCCAGACAAAACTAAAAGCTAATACATAGTCCGCTGTCTGTCCTGACTTCTATAAAGCAACACACTATTGTTTTTTTTCTGACAAAGACTTGGAAAATGCATTCCTTTGACAGCAATGAAATTCTCTAATCCAGTCTATCCCCTAAGAGTATCCTGTGCCTACTCTACTGCTCCTGTCCTTTGTCATCCCAGAGGCATATACAGCCATTTGGTGATTGGGATCGGGAAAACTGATCCACCCTGGGAGACTGGGGGAATGATTCAGTGTGGGCCTGTCCGATCACTTGCTGCGTACAGCAACAGATAGCACTGCAGCAGCAACTGGTGGCCAGATAATGGAGGGATGACGGATGCCTGAACCTTACTACACATGTGAAACCCAGACCTAAATTTTTATGATTTTATATACACTTCCTTTAGTTGTTCTTTGACATTGTTCTTGACTAAATGTGAGTATATATTTATTTTTGTGTGTGTGTGTATGCATCTATGTATATACACATGCTGTGTAATTTTACATAAACTATAATACTCGGAACTGGACAGATCAGGTCTTCCTCTGTAGTATAGGATGCATCTGGACATGGAGGAGAAAAAAGAAAGATTGAAGAGTCCTTAGTCAGTCTAATTGCATGCAGAGATACTGGGTGACCAGAATAAGAATGAAAAAATATGTTTGCAATTTCCAAAGTTAGAGGATTTACTGCTTGTGCTAGTTTTAATGGAACTTAATTGGATGAATAACTTTGGAAGACTAGAACCGTGCTTTTTCACTAGGTCTCAGAATTGCCAAATACTTGCACTTAAAAGCTTAACTAGTGTTCTATCTAAGGGCATTTTTGCTGAGACATCTCATCAGCTGGCAAACAATGGTCTTGTGATAGCCACTGCTTATATCCCTTTCAGAATGATAAGGTGAAAGTGCAACTGAAGTTTAATACCTAGCACATGACTCATTAAAGATTCCTTTTCCTTGTTGATATGAATTTAATTGCCCAGTTTATGAAACTAACTTTAAGCTTGATCTATTAATATATTAGCAAGTAGTGCAGACCTCTGGAAGGATGTCTGTAGAGTGCAACAGCTGACACTGACACACATACTATATGTACGTCAGGGATATTTATTTTACTTTGGACTATGTCTAATGAGGTCCCGTGGACTGAATGCTTATGTGTGGTTGGAGTTCAGTAGGTTTGCTCTTGAAGTTCAATTTAGCCGGTTCTAAAAGGGAAGCTCCCTTTAGCTCCGATGCTAAACGATGTGAACCAAAAAGCAATAATGTGGCAATAATTGGGAGAGTTGCTTCAAAAGTGCACTTGGAGTCCAAATTAGAAGGCTCATAATGCACCCATAGTTTTCTAGTGAATACGGGTAAAAAAAGAGCTAATGACAGTAATGGTCTGTATTTGAAAACCCTCCTATAATATAGAAATGTAAAAATCTTCATGGTGAAATTTCTCTGGTTGGTGGAAGAGAATTTTATCCTCAGTGGAAACTTTAAGAAGACTTAGGGCATTGTTGTCAGTGAATGAATGAAGAAAGGAGATGAGAATTAAGTCATTCAAAAAACTAATGTGATGAAAATGAGCCACTTTGATCACATATTCTATGCGTGATACATGATACCAATTACTGTAGTTTCCTTATTGCCCTTTATGTAGTTGTAGGATGAAAATTACAATAATGATTTTTAAAAGAAACATGGTAGTAGTATTGCTGCATTTTAGAGTCTTTTGTGTAGTAAAGCAATAGTTAAATTTAATCTTTCCTGTTGCTGTTTTGAGAAGGAACGGAGTAGCTTTCTCCTATTCATTTCTATCAAGAGGCTTTGAGCTGGAAAGGGGGGGAAAGCTATTTCCAGTTTCTAAATGATGAGAGTAAAACCTCTAAGTAAAAGAGGTACTAGTAATAGTGTATCTTTGCACATCACCTTGCATACTGTTTTTCTTGGTGGCTGGGAGGTGAAGGAAGTCTTGCCAAGGGATCATGGAACAAAACAATAAAATGTCCTTCTTTTACTTCAGTATTAGCTTCATTGTGGTATAGTCCCAGTGTCAGGGCTAAGAAACTCATTTTTTTTAAAGCTTTTTTTGTTGAAGTAATTTAAGTAATACAGCAACAGCTAGCTTAGAAGTTCTGCAAATGCTCTTCTTTTTTTGTTGCTGATCATGTAAAAATCACTTCCTTTTTGGAGGATTCCTGTCAACAGTTTCACAGTTGACTTCTGTTTTACCTCTTTATGCAAACCATCACAACCCCTTCTGTTAAGTTTTATGCACATGAAGCAGTTACTGTGTAGCACAGAAGCACTTTAAATAAATAAGTAAAAGCAGAAATTTTATCTCACCTTCCCCTGTCATTGAACAACTGGTTTTTTTTATCTGAGTGAGCCATTGCATTTTTTGTTTGTGAAGAAGGCAGCGGGCTCCACAAGCACTTTTTGGGCTGCTTCGTCTTCTAACAGGAAAGACCATACTCGCTGCCAGTGCATGGCTTGTTACCTGCTTCCTGTCTTTAGCCATGTCTGAGGTCTTTTGATTGAGTTCATACAATAGATGATATTTGGCAGCTCACTTCTTTTACTCGGAAAAGCTAAAAATAATTCCTGGTTGAAGGAAACAGTTGGTTGTCGTGCATAGCTGACTGTCATTTCCCTTGGAGCTGTACAGCTTTGTTGGTAGACTGGGGATAGAGATGACAACTTCAATTGCATCTTTGAATACCATCTTGCGGGTCCAGCATTGATCAATCCAATTTACACTGGTGTGCTTGTATTCTAGAGCAGACTTGGTTTGCTTTGACATACCTTCTCCCTCAATGAACTGGGAATGTGGGAGGCTGTGTGTTTTAGCTGTTTTATTCTTCTTTGGTGTATAGTTTAACAAATGATGAGTCTCTCTCTTCCAACTGAATTCAGACAGAAATTCTTAAGTTACTCTTAGACCTTTTGGGCATTACTTCTCTTCCTTCATTCAGCCAGTCACTGGCTTCTTTTCTGAAGAGGGATATCTGCTTGTCTTTGGCTGCCAGTGTCATGTCCCCCTTCTTTGCTTTCACTGGCACCTCCCACTAAGGTTCCTTTGGATGAAATGCACATTCTATACCTTATAATGTTAGAACTCTTCATTAGGTACAGGCAGTTGCTTTTAGAAGAGAGCTATTCGGTAAGTCATTTGCCATCTTTCTGGAGCTAGCCGTAATTCCCTACCAATGCAGCACTCCTGTTTCCAGGTATGGAGAAGTTGTCTGGCTTTGGAGGCCAAGCTGGAAAGCTGAGCCAGAACTTGAAAGAATGCTACATAATATTTTCAATATGAGAAAGGTAAGAGAGTTTAGAAAACATTGAACCTTGATTCTACAGCTAGCTATTAAAAATGCTAAGAACAAGATAAACACCCGAGAAGATTTAGATCAAGTATCTTCAGCACCTCCATCGAGACACAAATGAAACTCTTTTACTGTTGGAGCTGGCATCTGTAATTTTAATGTGGACCATGCAGAAAAGACGTTACATGCAGTAGACATGTCGTATATTAATGCAGTAGAGTAGTGCTGGTTTCTCTTGCTGTAAGATTGTATTGAGTGACCTAAAGATGAAGAGAGAATTTCATGCTGGACTTTACACTGCACTGGTACCTTTTT